AGGCCTCCTCTGGGTAAATTCCTGCCTCACCTTGCTCTGTGATGTTGAGCAAGAGACTCAACTGATTCCTTCTTCATAAACTGTCGTTGAAGGTCAGATAAGTTAACTTTGGGAAGTGTTTGAACAGGACTTGGGGTATTACTGCCATCATCATAAAACAAAATGTTAAGTGTGTGTGAATGGATAAAGAAAATGTGTCACAGACTGTGAGCTTTTGTTCAGTCACGAAGGATTAAATTATGTCATTCATTTGCAGGAAAACGGGTTAAGAGAAAGAAAAATGTTGCATGTTCTCTTTCCTGTGGAATCTAGAGTTAAAGGATTGTGTGTGTGTGTGTGTGTGTGTGTGAGAGAGAGAGAGAGAGAGAGAGAGAGAGAGAGAGAGAGAGATGAAAAAGGAACCACTTGGGAAGAGGAAGGGAATCAATGAGAGGGGACAAAAAAGAGAAATGGATGATGAGAATACATGTTCTACATATATGAAACATCATATAATAAATCTCACTATTTTTATTATACAATAAATATGTGCTAATGTAGAAAATGTAATTTTTAAGTCGATAAATGCAGAGTTGGAGATAACCTCCAACAGTTCCCTTTGCTTTGTCGTGGCTAAGAGTGCTGACATCTGTTATGAAAGCTTTGGAGGGACCTGCCCTGCCCTGCGTTGCTAGACTTCCCCTCCTGAGGCATTCCTGAAGGCCACCTTCACTAGCTGGCTATTTCACATTTTATTTTCCTTCTGTGTACATTGCCAGTTCATTTTCCCTTCTAAAATAACAGTTTCCTGGGAGACGGAGGGGGATCTATGATGGTTTGAATGATCATGGCCTCCATTGGCTTAAATATGTTAATGCTTGGGCCCCAGTTGGTGGAACTCTTTGGGAAGGATTGGGAGGTATGGCCTCGTTGGAGGAGGTGTGCCCTTAGGAAACTTTGGGGTTTCAAAAGCCTGTGCCATTTCAGTTAGTGCTCTCTACGCCATGGTTGTTACCACAATGCGTTCATTCTCAATTACTGCTCCAGTGCCATGCCTTCCTGTCTGCTACCCTGCTGTCCTCCGCGATGGTCATGGCTATAGCTGCCTTCTGGAACCCCGAGCCCCAACTTAAATGCTCTCTGTTGTACCTTGCCTTGGTCGTCACGCTTTGTTACAGCAATAGAAAATTAAGGCAAGCACTAAGAGTGGTCAGTACTGATTCCCACCTGGCCAAGGGATCCGAGGGGAAAGACAGGTGTCTTGACTGGAGCCTTTAATGATCAGCCACTGGTTGCAGCCTTCCCATCTCTAGTCAGAACAGAATATAAATGGTAGTTCTCTCTTCCATCCAAAAGGCGAGAACAACCCTACTGTTGTAGAAATGGTTTTCAGACTGGGAAAGAGAAGGATTTTTTGATTATAAATTTGGGGTTCTGCTATCCAGGGACATCTGAGTGCGGGGTTTTCCCTCAATCTCATAGGCCAGGGCTCTGCTGGGTTTGCTTTGCTTTCAGAGTACCTACACTACAGTATGGGAATGGGGAGTTAGGGCGTGGCTATATATCTAACTAGTTTTCTGTAAATCCCCTCTGCAGTGGTACTCAGTTTAGTTAATGTCCTGGGACTGGTTGTATGAGGACTTCTGAGAACAAGCTGAGAAGGCCCAAGGGAGGCTCCAGTGTTCATGACCTAATTATAAGCACAAGAAACCACTGCTGTACTGGAGAGTCAGATGGTTTTACCCCTGATGCTATCAGATCCTTTCCTAGCCTCGGAAGCACCTGATACTGAGTCCTCCAGGAGCACAATAGTCTCCTGTGTAGTTCATCACTGTGTTTCTAATACTTTATGGGTTGTCCGGCACCCAGTAGCTGTCCAGGCTCTGTTTTTGTTAGCTACTGCAGTGCATTGAGCCCTCAGCTTCTCCTGTAGAGAGTGAGTATGGGTGTGATGGTAGGTGATATGCTCTCATGGCAAATGGAAGTTTAGTAGTGTCCATTTATTTAGCAAATGTTTTTGTATACATTACCATGTTCTAAGCATTGTGCATCCATTTTAAAATTTTCTTTATTTTATGTATGTGACTATTTTGCCTGCATTTATGTATGTGCTGAGACCAGAAGAGAGCACCAGATCACCTGGAATTAGAGATTCAGTTGTTTGTGAGCGGCCGGCGTGTGGGTGCTGGGAATTGAACTCAAGTCCTCTAGAAAAGCAGCCTGTGGTCTTAATCACTGAGTCATGTCTCCAGGCCCAGTGTTGTGCATCTTGATGCAAACATATCAGTGGAAACTTTCCATTGCTTTAAGAAAATATAGTGGCCAGGCAATGGTGGTGCACACCTTTAATCCCAACATTCAGGAGGCAGAGGCAGAGGCAGGTGGATCTCTGTGAGTTTGAGGCCAACTTGTTCTACAGCGTGAGTTCCAGGACAGGCTGCAGAGCTATACAGGGAAACCCTGTCTCGGGAAGGGGGAAAAAAAAGTATAGCATTAGAATTTAAAAAGTCATCTGTACCTGTTACGATCCAAGAATTGCAAGAATGTTGGAAAGAGGCCATATTTGTCTACATATGTCAGTACTGGGAGGTCAATTTTTTCTTTGGTTCTGACAGAATTCTGGCATTTCTCCATGATAAATGAGGGGAATCTGTGGGATCTTCCTGTGTCCGTCCCCCAGCACTAGGGTTACAGGCATCCATGTCACACCTGGGCTTTACTCAGGTGCTAGGGATCTAACTTGACACTGAGCCGTTTCCCCAGCCTCTGTCTCATTTCTCCAGGAAAAATCCCGGGAGAGGATGAGCCAGGAGAGGTAGGCTCTGGAGTGATTGTGGAGCTGTTCCAAGACATAATTAGTACCTCCTGGGTCTGCAAAAATGTCCCCAGCAAGATGTGAGTCTGCACCTTTTAATGAGTTTTCATCCTGTGTTTTGCTCAACTTCTGCTGGAATTGTGTGGAGAACTGGAGTTTGGCGGGGGAGGGGGGGGGGCTTCAGGACGTGGATCTTTTGGCAGCCTCCTCCTCTGTTGTCTCTGGGCCAGTCCCCTGGGAAGAGCAGCCTTTCTTCCAGCAGACTGCCCCAAACCAGACCTGCCAGGCTGTGTCCCCTGGCTAGAGGAAAGCAGGCCAGTCTTATCAGGATGTTGATCTTGGATTAAAGGAATTACTTCCAGGCAACCAGCCCAGTTTTATTTCCCTTTGCAGCTCTCTGATGTCCAGGAAGACTGCTTATAGGGAAGGTGACCTGACTTTTTGAATGTGAGGGCAGCCAGCCACTTACCCAGCTGGCCCTGTAGGGCAAGGCCATGATGGGTATCCAGCTGGAGTCAACTATCACTTCTGGCCTCAGGGAGATTGTCCTGTCCCTGGAGTGTGATCAGGGAACTGTCATTAAATAAATGGCTCTGTGATCTGGAGGAGGTCGGTCCTTGTTGGTGCTCTGCCCATTACCCCAAAATCAGAACTAGAGAGGTCTCCAGAGATCAGCCTGCCCTTCCCCTAATACAGCACATTAAAATGGAAACTGATTCCCACTCTTAGGCTTAGAACTAAAATCTCCTCCAAACACATGGTCCAAGCTTTTAAGACAATACTAGCGCTATATATATATATATATATATATATATATATATATATATATGGATATATATATGGATATATATATGGATATATATATGGATATATATGGATATATATATCCATTATTAGGAAAGCAGGCTTATGCTCTCATGGTTTTATACAGACACAACAGTTGTGCATGTTACCATTTTATGTTGGGCATAAGTTGAAGACGTTTGATTGCATAAAGTTTGGAAATGGACAGCGTAGATTATAAACTTCCACTGGGAGCTGACTAGACAGAAGCAGTGGTCTCTGTTTATCTCTGCCCTCATCCTCAGACTCCTTCATTGTAAAGTATTCATTCACCAAAGGAAGCAGGCCCTTGGCCGTGTGGTGGAGTGAGTCCTCTAGCCTTCCCTGAGGGGGGAAAAAAAAAAAAAACTTGACAGTTTACCCAGCCCTCACATGGGTTCTGTAACAGAGGTAACATGCTAGTAAGACTTTTCCTGTCCTCTGAAGAAATGTGTCTTCGTCAGAACAGTGGCTCTGGAAGTGACTGCACAGAAGTCTAGGTACTGTGAAAGTGCAGTGCAGGGGTCCCTGCCATGCTCAGGAGGCAGTGTGGGTCTCCAGAGTCTACATTTCCAGTGAGCATCACTGCCCTTCTGCTGTAGATCCTCTGGCCTCCTCTCTCTGCTCTTTGGTTCTGAGTGACTCTTCTTGTTGGTACTGTTTGATGGTGGCCATGATGCAAGTGTAGAGGTCACAGGAAAAGTATGGAGCATCGGTACTCTCCTTCTACATGTGAGTTCTGGGGATGGAACTTGGGTCCCCTATGGTTGGACAGAAATAACAGAATTACATGGGTGGGAACCAGAGAAGTACGAGCCATTTACGCTCAGGTTAGCACTCTGTGGTTTGTAGCTGCAATTGACTTTGCATTCTGGGTTTCTATGCTCTAGAAGGAGGCAGTGTTGGAGCAGATCTGTCTAGCAGACCCCTGGCTGAGGCCACAGTTCTATTTGCCCCGGTCCTGGATGACTTCGTGGTGGCAGACCCCCCTGGAATGTAGCTCTCTGGTCACTGGGAGGCCTCCAGTGCTCCCTTTCTCTAAAAGAGAAAGCATTTAACAGGCTTTGCCATTTCCTGAGAGGAAGAGCAGGCCCAGGGAGTGGCCTTGTCCTTCTTGCCTGCATCCTGATGAACCTTGCTGTGTGGGCAGCCTAGGCTTCGAGACTGCGGTTCGGCCAGCCCCTCACAGGCCGGCCATGTCCATCTCCAGCACTTGCCTCTACTCCCCACAGCAGGGTCCCACTGCAGCCCAGGCAGGCCTGAAACCCATGTTGGCCTCAGGCTCAAAGCAGTTTTCCTGAATGTTGGGATTACAGGTATGGCCCCTGATCCTGGTTGCCATCCCTTACAGAATTAAGAAATGGCTTCTCTCTCAGGGTTTTTTAGAAATATAGAATGTCTCACAGATAGACTTAGTTATCCTGTCACAGAGCCATACTATTCTTCTCTGTGTCTGTCCGGTTTTATTAGAGTTGCTTTAAAAAGTGACTGTCCCAGCGCTAGAGACAGCAGCACACACCAGCTGGCCACCAGAGCAGGTCAGAAGCATGGAAACCCTCCAGCCCCCCAAAAGGAATTGGGTTAGAGTTCAGGTGGTTATTTTCATAAGATATATGAAAATGCTAATTTAAGTAGCAATTTAAAGACTTAACAAGTGAGAGTTTTTAATGTTCCCTGGTTGTGTGGCGCTTGTGAAATTGCATTCAGTCTTCTGAGGAGCCAGAGGCCCCAGCATGAGTTGTCTTGGCCTCTCACATGGGCTCAAACAGATTTCTTAAAATCTTCCAAGAGAAAAACACTCCTTTTTTTTTCTTCAGTATGAAGCGCCATCCCTTGAGATTGTTTCTAGACCCGTGCATGACTTTGGAAAGGGAAAGTTTCTTAGATTTGGGGTGTAGTCTGCCATCCATCTGAACTTTGTTCTATATTGTCAGGCTGTGTACAGTTTTTATTGCTTATGGGCAGAGTACCTTAGACATTCCATGGAAATGAGTGTATCCTTTCTAAGTTTAAGAATTGAGCTGAGTTTTTCTGTGTCAAGGTTACCTCACTCAGGATGTTTTTTCTAGTTTCATCCATTTGCCTGCAGATTTCAAGATGTCATTGTTTTTTCCACTGAGTAGTACTGCATTGTATAAATGTGCCACATTTTCTCTATCCATTCTTCAGTTGAGGGACATCCAGGTTGTTTCCAGGTTTTGGCTATTACAAAGAATGCTGCTATGAACATGGTATATACTCACTCAAAGTCATTATTAGACATAAAGCAAAGGATAACCAGCCTACAACCCCAGAGAAGCTAGGTAACAAGGAGGACCCTAAGAGAGACACACATAGATTTCCCCTGGGAAGGGGAAACTGACAAGATCTCCTGAGCAGATTGGGAGCATGAGGGGAAGTGGGACAGGAGAAGGGGGAAGAGGGAGGGGGGGAGCACATGAGGGAAGGGAGTTGGGGGACAGAGGGGGAGAGTGAAGAAAGAGGTATCTTGATAGAGGGAGCCATTATGGGGTCATCGAGAAACCTGGCACTAGGGAATCTCCCAGGAATCCACAAGGTTGACCCCAGGTAAGACCCTAAGCAATAGTGGAGAAAGTGCTTGAACTGGCCTTCCCCTGTAATCAGATTGTCATCATAGAACCTTCATCCAGTAACTGATGGAAGCAGATTCAGAGATCCACAGCTAAGCACTGGGACGAGCTCCCAGAGTCCATTTCGAGAGAGGGAGGAGCAATAATATGAGCAAAGGGGTCAAGACCATGATGGGAAAACCCACAGAAACAGCTGACTCTGAACTGACAGCTGGAGAACCTGCAAAGGACCAAACTAGGCCCTCTGAATATGGGTGATAGTTGTGTGGCTTTCGCAGTCTGTGGAGCCACCACTGTCAGTGGGACCAGGATTTATCCCTAGTGCATGAACTGGCTTTTTGGAGCCCATTCCCTATGGAGGGATACCTTTCTCAGCCTCACAGTGGGGAGAGCCTTGGTACTACCTCAGGTAATACAACAGACTCACCATGAAAGGCCTTACTTTCTCTGAGGAGTAGTTGGGAGGGGGGATGGGGGAAGCAGGAGGGGAGGGATAGGGAACTGGGATTGGTATGTAAAATAAAAATAGATTGAGCTGGGCGATTATGATGTACCCTGTAATCCCAGCACTCCTTATGCAGAGGCAGGTAGATCTCTGTGAGTTTGAGGCAGCCTTGTCTACAAAGCAACTTCAGGACAGCCAGAGCTGTTACACAAAGAAAACCCTGTCTCGAAAAACTGGAGGAGAGAGAGAGAGACAGAGCAGCCATTATGACTTTTAAGAACTGTGGGTAAAACCTTTCATGTGGTTTATACAGCTTCCTATGGGGTGCGCAGACTTAACCCATCTGTATGTGTGTTCTGTCTGTGGCTCCTGTGTTACTGTTGGCTCTGCTGTTACAGCTGATAAATGTGGTGGGACTTGATGACCACCTGGGAAGGAAGTCAAAGTCCAATCTCTTAAGCAGATCCAAAGCCAGCATCTCTCTCTCTCTCTCTCTCTCTCTCTCTCTCTCTCTCACACACACACACACACACACACACACACACACACACACACACACACACACAGAGTTATTTGGAGAAATGAATGGTTGGCTCTTCAGCGGATGTGGAAGGCCTCCGTAGATGGGTGTCTCTGGAGGTAGTTAGGTAGGAGGTGTGTGGTGTGAGCAGAACCAGTCTTGCTCATCCATTGTGTGAGAAGAAGGTCATGGTCCTGTGGAGGGTGGCCATTGTGGGCCCTATACCCAGCCAGATGGCTTGGCATTTAAAAACATCCAAGGATTGTAGACACAGGGTGGGTATAACTTCACTGACTAGGGGTCAGAAGAGGGTTTGGAAAGGGAAGGCCAGGGATAGCTAGCTGTCCAGTCAGAGGGCTTGCTGCAGAGGCCTGGACAGAATGAGTTTGAGAGCTTGGTCAGGGCGCCAGCCCAAGTATGGCAGACCTGGTGGACCTGCTCTGCCTGGAAGCTGTTACATCTTCTGTGCATCTGTTTAAATGTGACCTTGTGAATGCTTACTGCTTTCCATTCCTTGCTATTTTATTTTTAAACATGTTTATTTTATGTATATGAGTATTTTGCCTGTTTGTATATCTTTGTACCACATACATGCCTCATACCCTAAGATATCAGAAGAGGGTGTGGGATTCCCTGGAGCTGGAACCATGAATGGGTTTGTGCTGCCATGTGGGTACTGGGAATGGAAACCATGTCCTCATTAACAACAATGAGCACTCTTAACCACAGCCCTACTCCCTGTTTTTTATTTCTAAACAATGTCCTTAGAGTAGAATTCTGGTTGTGAATGTCCAGTAAAAGCACATTGTGGACTGATAGATGATGGTCTTGCTCTCTCAGTCTCAGGGGACCACACTTGTACCCCAGAATTAAGGCCCTGTACACTGATAAGTGTGTGGTTTCTGGTGTTCCCCTAAAACCAGCACCCTCATGGGGTTTTTAATTGATCTTCAGCATTATATGAGGTCATCAGCCTTTCAACATTTTGGGGAAAGCCATAGAGGAACTTCTGTCTCCTGCTGAGGTACCAAGAGTGGAGTTTGTCTTGGGCATACTCTAACCCTCCTACTCGAGAGTGGGGTGTGCAGACTCGGCTTTGACCATGAAGCCAGCTGTGAGAGCTTGGTAAGCACAGTGCAGTAGAAAGTCAACTGAGAACACCAGCCTGAAGAGGGTCCTGGTGTGATGTCCATTCACCTAGGAGGCATCAAAGGCTTGGGTAAATGAGTTACTTGTCACACGCTGCTGTCATGTGGAAAAGCCAGGTGCTTAGGCTCCATGGCAGGTAGATGATTGTGTTTAGGGAAAGTATTGTGAGGGTTAGATGACTGTGGAACAAAAGCTCACTGCCTGGTCATTGTCTAATTGACAGTGTGTGAATATAGATGGCTGGAGAGCCTAAGCTTCATTCCAGTTTTGTAAAGAAAATTGGTGTATGTATTTGTGGGTAGAAAAATATTCAAAACTAAGTACACCAAGGCTTTGTGAGGGAGCATTTCTGGTGATGTGGTTATGTGCAGTTTATTTTCTTTTTTTGTTTTCCAAATCCTCACAGGAGTTGTTTATGTGTTGTCATTCTTGCTTGACATTCGAGTCTAAGATTGGGGACAGAGAGATGGTTTAGTGGCTAGGAGCACTTGTTGCTTTCCCAGAGAACCAGGTTTGGTTCCCAGCACACACACGGCAGTTCATAACCATCTATAACTCCAGTGCCAGGTGATCTGACACTCTCTTCTGACCTCCACAGGCACCAGGCACATACTCATACAAACAAACATAAATCTAAAATACTGAAGTCTAAATATGCTTTTAGGCTAAGACTTGGGAGGCAGAGGTAAGTAGATCTCTTAAGTTTGAGGCCAGACCAGCCTACATAAAGAGTTCCAGGCCAGCAAGGGCTACATGAGGAGACTCTGTCCTGGAGGATGGGGGTGGGGGTAAAATGTACTTGTATAAAGGTACAGAAGAACAAGGTCTTTTCTAGGTAAACAGGATGCCCTCCAGGATCCCCCTTTAAAGCTGAGGCAGCCCTAGGCCCCACATCAGACTCAGGTTAGGAAAATCCTCAGGCTTCTCCGGGCCTGGTTGCTTTTAATTTTATTTCTGGCATTTTTTAGTCATGCAGACTTTTTTTTTTTTTTTTTTTTTTTTTTTTTTTGCTTGCTTACATTCTAGCTTTAGAAAGACTTTCTGTTCCAAGAAAATAGAAATGCAAGGATATTTCTTCCGTGTGGCTAGGGGAGAGACTCAACCCTGACACTGTCAGCCTGGAGCTGGCCCTCTAGAGCTGTAGTGGGGAAGTGGCCGGTGGCTGGGATTTGAAGTCTGTCCTTCCAGTTGTCATTTCGGGGCTCAGTCCCAAAGCAGTGGCTTGTTTCCCTTAGGCCCTGTATCACACACAGCTCACATCTGGGCAGGATGGTGTCCTCACTATTTGCTATTCAAGATTTCTGCCAAGCCCTTCCCCATGAATTTCTGCTCTGCTGTGTATGTGGCTCTGTAAACCTAGCCATTCCCTCATCTCCTTAAAAATGCAGTAGAAAACTAAATGTATCTTGCCTCAAGAGGCAGAATGGGGACAAATAGTCTTATTAATTATATAGACATTTTCTTGTAACTTAGTGGAATTTATTCCATTCATTAATTTGTCATGTTCACTATCTTGTTTATCTAATTTGTATTCAGTTTATTAATCTTAAATCAGATTTGAAGTAATTTTCCACGGTGACAGGTTTCTCATGTAGGTAATAATTTGTGGTGATTTTATTTCTTTCCAGATGTTGACTGTTGTCAATGTCATTATTCAATAGTTAATCCTTTGTCCACTGGTTTGATTTGAAATATTAAATATTCTTTTATATATTTAACCATGTATTTTGATTTACTAGCAATATATTCTCGTTTTAATTATTGTGGCTTTCTAACATGCTTT